GCAGCAGCAATTTTGCCTGAATTCGCACATAGACTTTCCTGCCGAAGCACACAGCTCTGCATGCGAGAGTAAGAATCTCATGGGAGTGCCCACACCTGCCGCTAGCTGGATCCAGTGTTCGAACATCTGAAGTCTGACCTATGCAGCCTGTAGCCTAAACGTGAGAGTTGAAGATATTGGTGGGGAACCTGGCAGCGGAAGCATCGATTGCAGGTTTTTTGACCTCCCTGTAATCTGACGGAAGCCACAAGGGCTGCGAGTGCATAAAGGATCGTACTAAGATCCACAGTCTTTTCGAAATCCCACCGCTTAGCATGCAGCCCCACCTTGGCTGCTCTTGAGATCTTTCGGCGCAACATCCACTTTGCTCGCGATTTCATTCGACATTTGCCCCTAAAGAACGGCTTACTCTTTTGGTGCTGATTGCATCAAGATGCAAGCCAGGTGCAAGGGCTGCAGCAGGTCTGTAAGAATCCAGGTTCGCAGGCCAGCCTTTTCCAAGACCTTCCAGTGAGTGTCGGGCTGCCAGCAATCCCAGGCAATGGGCCAGCGTGATCCACTGGGAAAGGTCGGCGGTAGTGGGATCACGATCGCGAGCAGCAAAAAGATGCTGTATAGTGCAAGACAAGATGTACGAGAGGGGGTGCTTTCGGCAGGGGGTGCAAGGATGGAAAATGCGGCGTTTGAGTCGAAGCCCCGAAGTTCATCAGGACAGGACCTAGGTAGGAGATGGTAGGAGTTACAAACTACAAGCACCTTCTCGACTGGCTTTTGCTAAACTGTGCCATTACGTAGCAATGTGGGCTGCCTACTTGCGAGAAACCTTGCCCCAAATCCGCACTGCAGCCATTTAGGCCCCGGCCATTTGCATCGTCGCTCATCGCCCCTTCCAGTTGAAATCACATCACGATGAGTGCCCAGCAAGATGTGAAGACGCCAGTGCCACCGAGGTGCATGGTGCTCCTGGCCGACTGGTGCAATGTGTGGGCAGGTATCACCTTGGTCGTCTCCTTCTCCCTCATTACAGGTGCATTTACTTTCAATTGGTTCAAGATGTCTGGCGCCGTCCACACAATCATGCAGGTGACCATGTGTGCCGATGGGCGGTGGCAGCAGGCCTCTTGACGAAGATTAACATGATTGTGAACAATGCATCGCTGGCTGTTGTGCAGACGATCATTTGCTTCGGTGGCCTTTTCTTCGCTGTATCCGGTCTGTATGACGGAGTCCCGGGGAAAGTTATCAGCATCCGCTACATTCTGGCGCCTGACACCAACGCGCTTTTTGCTGATGCATGCCCCTATTACGGCATCACGTGCTTCATGGTTGCCACTTCCATGGGCTTGAGCGGCGTCCGGGGCCTTCCGAAGAACAAGTTCGTCAGCCCCTTCTGGGCCGTGGCATGCTTCTTTATCGGGGCTTGGACCATCGGTGTCATCGGGTTGTGGGGTCCGACGCTCATTGGTGGCTTAGTGAGGTACGAGGACTTCGAAGCACCAACCGACCTTTACAAGCAGAAGACGTTTGCCTGGGCCTGGATCCATATCTTCCAGGTCATTGGCGCCATCTTTCTGACTCTCGGCGGCATCATCTTCGGTCTGATGGACAACATCTTCTCCTTTGGCTCCAGCGCCCAGGGAAAGAAGTTTAGCGATGAAGTCTCCGAGAGCAGCAGCAATTTTGCCTGAATTCGCGCATAGACTTTCCTGCAGAAGCACACAGCTCTGCATGCGAGAGTAAGAATCTCATGGGAGTGCCCGTACCTGCCGCTACCTAATTCAGGTATTTTTGTCACTTCCCGTTGGAGCCAAAAGGGCTGCGAGTGCTTAAAGGATCGTACTAAGATCCACTGTCTTTTCGAAATCCCACTGCTTAGCATGCAGCCCACCTTTGCTGCTCTTGAGAATTTGCGGCGCAACATCCACTTTGCTCGTGATTTCATGACATTTGCCCTTAAAGAACGGCTTACTCTTTTGGTGCCGATTGCATCAAGATGCAAGCCAGGTGCAAGGGCTGCAGCAGGTCTGTAAGAATCCAGGTTCGCAGGCCAGCCTTTTCCAAGACCTCCCGGTGAATGTCGGGTTGCAGCCTTTATACATCGATCCCCGGTATTGGACATCGAACATCACCGTTGCAATCCCATGCCTAAAACCAGCACGCTTCACCGCGAGCTCGACCATAGTGGGATCACGAAGCCGAGCAGCAAAAAAGGTGCTGTAGGTAAGACAAGACGTACAAGGCGGTGCTTTCCGTCGGGGATGCCTGGCAGAGGTGAACCTTGAAGGTGCGGGGCATGTGAGTGTGTGTTTTTGCTTCGGGGCAGCTGTTTCTCTGGTACATGAAGTCTGTCAGAAAGCCTTGCAATTAGCAAGGCTTTCCGGTTCCAAGTTCCTGAATCGAGCTCTTTGACTCAAGGATCCTCTGCCGTTTTTTGAGGACGAGGCAAAGGTGGGCCAGGCTGAGCATAGCTTTCTCGGGTCAACGTCTGAGCGTTTCCGAAAACAGGATAAATAGGGGACCCTAATATAGCACCCTAAATAGTAGGATCCTTATTATAAGGACCCCAAAATACGGTACCCCTTTATTTTCGGAAACTCCCATCTGCAAGCGGCTGGCCTAGAGCCTTCGCCTTGTGCAATGAGAGGTGCTGCAGAAGTATCGGACCGTTCCCGAGGAGCTCAGAATTGTTGGTAGGCAGGCTGTGATCCTTAGCGCTTCGGGTTGAGCGTTCACGCTTTAGAGCTCGAGCGTGTTTCTTAGTTAGGTTTGTTTCGGTTGGTTGCTTCGGTCATGAACTCACTGAGGAATTATAGCCAGCTGCTGCAAAATCGGCTTGACAAAGCAATGTACCTTTGCCGGCCCATGATTTGTCAACCCTCATGATTTGTCAACCCCGTTTCCTATGTTTCCTAAGGCCATGAGCGTATTCTGTTAATCCCTAGCACAATCCCATTATGCAGGACGAATCCTTGGCAGATTTGGCAGCATCCGCTGCAAGGAAATTGGAGGAGTCTCCGTGCTTGTTCTGCATTCGATTATTTTTTTCGGTTCAATGTCAGGTACATGTCGCTGCACCCTATCTTGCTTTGTCTTTAGGCCGATTCTTTTTGGTGGTATTCCGCCAGCCCTCCCAGCAAACTCAATGTATCGTGAATGACGACTTCTGGGTTTGCCATCCTATGCCATCTGTGGCCCCTGTGCCAAACGATGTGGCATCTTGCGAACCGAATTCCTATGTGCGATGGAATGTGATTATACCAGTCGACGATGCTTACACGACCGAACAGAACATGCAGGGTTCAGAAATCAATCTTGGCCATTGCGAAACCCTCAACCCCACACCAAAATTTGATGAAACCCCACAATGTGTCCTTACGGCTGCGAATGTTGAAACCCAAGATCTCCGACGAAGGAATCTGTGAAGCAGTTCCACGACTCCTCCAACTCGTTGATCGGCTTGAAGACGGCCATGGCCGTGGCACGGGAGGTCGGAAAAGGGAAGATGGGACTCCTGGGTGGGATGGGAGACGCAGGGCTACCCACGTTTAGTCGATGCGTATTTTCTTGCGAAAGTGTCCACGCATATATGTGTGTCTATGCAGGCATGTATGCCTACGGACGTATGGGTATGCATAATATGTTTTGTTTCGTCTTTGTTACATTACATGTCGTCATAATACGTCATGTTATGCTGTGCTTTGTTATGTATGTGGGTGTCTATCTATGTATGTACGTATGTATGTATGTATGTATGTATGTATGTATCTGGGATTGTTTTCGTTGCTGCAGTAAACCTCGCCTGACCTGGTCGAGCGCGAGTGCTATGTATGTATGTCATGTAATGTATGTATGTATGTATGTATGTATGTATGTATGTATGTATGAGGTATGTATGCAAATCTCATACAGGTATGCACAAACAACAGGTAGGTATTGGTTAGAAAGGTAAGTAGGTAGGTCGGTCGGTAGGTAGGTAGGTATACGCGTGAGTAGGGTAGCTCTGATGTTTCCGATGAATGCTGAGATACTTCACGACAAGACATGCCTTGAAAATCAGCTCTCTTACCAGTACGCCAATCCACTCGAACTTATGAACATGTCCATAGTTGCGCCTTTCCGTGTGACTAAACAGTGGTATGTCTTATGATGTGGTTTCTGATGCTTTGTGTCGGCCATTTCTCGATATCGTCTCACAATCGGGTGCAGTGATACAAATATACCTATGAATAAAAGAATATGCAAGACATTGACATGTAGTATATATGCAATACCGTAGTCGTGTGTTATAACGTCTCCTTCGTGAGAAAGAAACGTCAAGATGGCCACATGGTTCGGATGTGTACTCCGTATTCGTACCAGAGTCAACGTCATATCATGTCTCTGCTTAGTGGGCTTCTGCAAGCAGCCGTGAGAAATAGAAGGAGATGTGAACATACTTGCATACCACAGTTATGAAGTGGTTCGGTTCTTCTGGCTATTCTTTTCTGACTTCACGGACACGAATAGGACCAACTCAGCAACTGCGGAGGATGGCAGGAAGAGCCTCGAAATCCTAAAGCCTAAACGTTCAGACTTTCAGACTTCAGGCTTCCATCACCCGGCATTGAAATTCGGAAGTTTCTGACATCAATGCTTGCGAGCCGTGCTTCCGACAGATTGTCCGAGCAAGGATCCTTAGCGGGGTGCTTCGGAAGCCTCCGATCAATCTTCGTTTTACTCAGCCTAACATCCCAGACGTTGCTTGCACTCAGACTCGCAACGGGACTCCCGCTGTTGCATATAGTGAGGGGGTCCGAGAACACTGCCGCGGCAGGATCGAGGTGCAGTATATGCCCGGTTAGAATCAGCTCCAGCCATCCTTGTAAGCTTCTGCCTGCCGGGCGATCACATCTTTCCGATCATTAAACCTATAAGCCCCCAAAACCCCAAAATGAAGAGGTGCACACGTGGCACCGCATCGCTCGGGCAGAGTTTGCCCAGCGTCGAGCATCTGGGCATGCTACCTGCACCGCCTGGCCCGAGGCCTTGCGCCCAGTCAGGGCTCAAAAGAAGAAGTGTTTTTCTTGTTTAGGGGTTATAGGGGTTGATTAGGGTTTTAGGGTTTAGGGCCCCGTAGGATTGAGCGAGAAGATACCACCCATGGCGACTTAGTGCATCTCAGGATGCAGGGCCAGTCTCCTCAAGTAGCTCACACTACATACTATACTACATACTGTTCGTCGGAACTCGGAAGCTTGTCGCACGCCGCTCAAAGCAGGATATAACAGCCACAGACAGCACATACGACTACAAACTCGTTGAGCACAGGCATGGTGAGAAGTGCTCCTCCCCCAAAATGGTATTGGCCGTTGGCTTCTAATAGTGGGGTGCAATGAAGACCTCCTTTGCAGCAAGCTACAACATGAAGCAACGAGTACAATGCTGTGTGGTAGTTGCAGATTGATCTTATGCATACTGTAGGAGATGCGTGACGAGGCCAAACTCCGTAACTCCCTCAAGAACCCGGAACCCCAAGAGCTCCACTTTGAAGAGCGCAAAAGGCTGCGCCGGCCGAGGGCCTAGTCGCCTACGCTTCGGACTCCTCCAGTGACTTGGCATCCCACCTGCGGGTGCTAGGATCCTTCTGGTTCCGTCCACAACAAGCCCTAAACTAAGACCAAGAGCATCAGAGCCGATCATGTCTGTTTCATGGCTCATCCAAGGCGAGGAGGCAGTGAGCACTCGTAAGAAGCCGCGCACTACGGAGCGATGAAGTGGTTTGGAGTGTCGAAGATTGAGACCTAGGATACAGAATGCTATAGAGCTTGGGTTTGTAGTTCGAATTGCGGGCCACAGAAGACAAAAGTTTCATCGGTTGTGCGTCGGTCTTATCTGCTCGCCGATCGGAGGAAAATGCCCGCCCTGCATGACCGTGTCAAAGGAAGTTTGGGAGACTTAGGCAATCCTTCGACATAGGGAATCCTTTGAGATTCTGTACATTTGGGACTTATACAGATGGTTTAGAATGACTTTTGAGGCTTCTTATGCCTTCCAGAGTCCAGTCCGGCCACTGCCAACCTCGCCTCCGATCTGCGAGGGCCGGAGCTCTGGTAGAAGCATGATCGGGGGGTCGCACTGCTTGGGAACAGGAGGAGCCATGCGGCTGATGCTTGGAATTCCCCATGAGTGACTATACTGCGGGCATGCACAATTTTCAGTATTTGTGTTTGTTGGCTGCTTTTCTTGTGCATATTTGAGGCTTAAGATAAGATGAAGTAGAAATGCATTTGCACCCATGTCCTTTAGAAGTTCCATTTGATGGAGTCTGAACCTATGAAACTGAAGAGCTACGTTCCTGAGATTCAAGAACACACTGTCAACCCACCAAAAGCAGCCATCGCCGTTGTCAAAGGAATGGACGATGACCTCGAACCCAATGGCAGACTATTGTGATAGTTAAAAGTGCTGAGGTACTACTCAAAAACAATATGGAAGGTAGATACGACAATCGGAACCTCACCAGTAAGGTACTATTGCAAAAAAGCAGTATGAAAGGTAGATACGATAATCAGAACCTCACCAATAAGGTACTACTCAAAAAGCAATATGAACGGTAGATACGATTATCGGAAGCTCACCATGCTGATACATATAGCCAACATCTGTTTTCAACATTCCAAGCCCCAGTGAAACATTCTCAGGAATCGACGCGCGGGAACGGCAGTACAACCTGTGGCCCAGCTGCATGCTTCGCAGTTTCATGACCCGATAACAGGCATAATGAAGGGAAGCCCGAACCCCCCGAGCAATATGCACCGGCCTCCATGCATTCGCCATAGGACGGCCGACTCTATTCTCTCGGACTGGCAGAGGCCAGGGGCGGTCTGAATCTTTTGAACGGATCATGGCAGGAACATCTTGGTATTGTGGTGGTCTCGAAACTAGACAGGTGTGCTTTTTCGAATTGCGACCTGAAGCAGGCTAGCATTGATATTGACGTTATAGCTCCTGCATGCATCTGTTATTGTTGGTGCTGCCATGACATGCCGTCGTCCTCTGTGCGCGGCAGGTGCGAGTGCAGGTAGGTTAGCTGTGTGGATCAAGTTCTTGCCACTGGGGGCCCACGGAACTGCTTGCTACTAGTATGTCTGCTGTGGAAGATACCATCCACATCAGAAACTTGTGGGAGAGAGTAGGTGGGAGTATTCGTCCTGCTATAGTGCCGGAAGGAGGATGCACTGCAGCACTATAAATGGTGGTGCTGGTGCTGGTGCTGG